AATTATTGATATAGCAGCTGGAGATGTTCTAGAAGAGATTCCTGCTCATAATACGGAGTTGTGGTCAATTTGTCTTCAACCTGATATGGTAAAAACATTATAAGATTAACCAAATTTATCAAAAAAATTTTAAATACTGGCATGTTTTCTTAATTTTTTAAAATATTTCTATATAGAATGAATTATGGAATTTAATTTATAAGTGATCTTAATCCAAGAAGAGACTAGATTATACAGGTCGCTGATATGTATGGAAACGTTCAGTTATCTCCTAAAGTAAGATAGCTAGCGAAAAATGTTAAGATACAAAAGTTTTAGTGTTTTTTAAAATCTCTTACTTACAATAAAGACAAATTATGTATACAGGGTCAGTCAAAAAGTTATGACGAAACAAAATGACGTTTTCTTTAATGAAACATCTGAATGTTATTCCATATACCAGTTCATCTCGAAATTCTAAACAAAATTCATGAAACACATCATAGACCTTAACTTAAGCGTTTTCCAGATATCACGCGTTTAAAAATTTTCGAATTTACGTAATTTATTTAAACTACTTTTGTATTTTTGACATGTGTTGTCAGTTACGTTGCTATGGAGATGAGAAACTTTCAAAAGTATCTTGACGACGATTATAAACATAATGGACAAAAATATTTTTGTGTAATTTATAAGAGTGATTGAACTAAAACTAGGAAGTAACACTAGAAATTTTCGGAATTTGCCGTGCGTCTTTTAAGCAAAGGTTTGACGTTTCGGATGCCATGTTGCAACCTTCTTCAGAAACTGGTTCATGAAGAAGGTGAAACCATGGCACCTGAAACGTCACAGCTTTTCTTAAAAGACGCATGCCAAAACCCGAAAGTTTCTAGTGTTAGTTCTAATTTTAGTTCAATTAACAACGTCCGTGAAAGCCTTCGTACTTATATTAGTATAAGTGATTTTCAAAGTTCAATATCTCGAAAATGGTTAAGTTTAGGTTTACGATGTGCTACATGAATTTTGTTTAGAATTTCGGGATGAACCGAAATATGGAACAATATACAGAATGTTTCATTAAAGAAAACAACTTGGTTTCGTCATAACTTTTAGACTGACCCTGTATACTTAATTTGTTGTGATAGATTTTAAAATACACTAAAACTTTTGTATCTTAAGATTTTTTGATTGTTTGAGAAAGAAAATGTTTTATACATATGTTGTTTGACTCATCATTTTCTATAACAAAATAATTTGCATTTAGGCGACACTAAAAGTATATCCATAAATTTGTTAGTTTATCCAGCCATTTATTGATAGGATCAAACCCTGATGTCTTCTTCTCTTGATCCTTTTGCCTAATGGCGTCGAATAAATCTTTTTCCTATTCCTCCAACCACCTCTTCCACTCTCTCCAGTTCCTAGCTAATTCCCTTATATCTGCTAGAGTCTTCCCTCTCTTCTTCCCAACTTCTGCTATTCTTTCTTCCCACTTCTTTCTAGGTCCTACCCTCTTTCTCTTACCCGTATTCTTTGCTTCAAATTCCTTTTTTTGCTATTGTGTTATGCTCCATTCTAATTATATGAACGTACCAGTTTAGTTGCTTTCTCTCTACTTTGCTGATTATCTCCTCTTGATCCATTCCCAGTCTTATTTCCTCATTTCTCATCCTATCCCGCTTCGTCTTCCCCGCTATTTTCCGTAAAAACTTCATTTCCATTGCCGTCATCTTTCCTTCTTGTTTATCTTGGAGTGTCCATGAGTTCTCTATCTCCCTCGTCCCAAAAATTCTTCTGTTTAGAGTATGATATACGTTGTTTGTTTTCCTTATTCTTGCATTTATGTCTAAATCTATCCTTCCATCTTGTGATATTATACTACCCAACTACTCATATGATGATACTGATGATTCTATCTTCTGCTCCTTAATGCTCCTTAATAATCCTTAATGGTTCGTTAGGACTTGTGTAGGTATCACTATTCATAGAGGTTTGAAATTTTGGTAGCATAGGTTGTTCATTTTAAACTTTCGATCTAAAATGTTTTCAAGATGGCCGCCACTTCCGGTCTACCGGAAGTACACCACAACCTCGTTATTTTAAATGGAATTCTATAGCTTTTATTACACCTTTTAATTATACGTAAAAAAATATGTTGACTTTGATCAAAGTTATTGGTACCTAGCGGTTTTTGTCTTCGAGTTATTTTGATTTTAAGTGTTTTTGGCAAATTTCTCCATGCTCTTTAAAACCCATATCTCAGCTAACGATCATTCAAAAAAGTTCTGCATTGGCACGATTACTCTTCAGATGCTGTCAAATAAATAGCCATTTGTTCTATCAGAGTATCTTATACAGGTGGTAAAAATTGGATTACCGTTTCTCCATATTCAATTGCGAGAAAGTCGAACATTTTAAATGGAACGCCCCATATTTTTTACCCTATCAGAAAGGGAATTTAATTCTCTACAAATTATCTATAGAATTGTAGTTTCATATTGGAAAATTTATCAAAATCATATATAGAATGCCAGAAACCGTTTGTGTTTTTGTTAGAAGGCCATGACATTTTGACAGTTTATTTGAAAATTATTTAAATTATTTTTGATATTATTTCTACAATTAACGAATAAATGTACCAATGAAAAACAATAGTTTAAATTGACATTTAATTTTGACAAATTGTTGTGAAGTTGGTTATAGTTAGTAATATTGAATTTGTGTCACATTGACGTTTAAATTTTATACAAAAATTTATTTAAAAATAAATTTATGGAATCAATTTCAATAGTCGTGGACAAAGTATAGTATTCTACTCACATATAATGAGCTATTATTCATTCAGGTTAATTATAACTTAACCTTAGTGAATTATAGCCCTCATTATATGCTCATATCATAATATACTATTATCTACGACTGCTTGGATAAGTCATCATTACCACACTCACTTGAGGTGATATTGAGTTACGTAATGAAGTTCATTACCGCACTGATTTCATTACGTACCGCATTTTTAGCCCAATCAGAATAAACTTAAACAATATGCAACAATATAAAAGAAAAAGCTACCTATTTAAAGAAAAACAATACTATTTATTATAAATATAAATTGTTATGTTTTTACATTACGAAACAGTTATTCTAGATGAGTAAACATTTTATTGAAACTGACATTAATTCAAAATTGTCAACAATCATTTCAAAATATTTTTATAAATGTCTAAACAGATCTTAAAGAAATTGATTTTTAATAATTTTTAGCAGTCGTATATAAAATGTAGTATATCACACGTAGCCTAGATCATAATTACAGTACCCGTGTGATTATACGACTCAGTCTACGACCTCGTCGTGGAATTCTCCACACTCGTACAGTAATTATGTTTCTAGCCCATTTGTAATATAAATAATTAGCGTTGGAATAATTTGTCATGATATGTAATGAATGACTTTAACTGACAAAATGACAAATTTCCATGACTTTCTAATAAAAAAACTAAACGATTTCCGACATTTCGTGCATGATTAATTTGATTAATTTCCCAATATGAGGGAAAATATGGAGAAACGGTAATTCAATTTTTGACCTGGTTTTTTGAATTTTTTCTAAGATACTCTAATAGAACAAATGACAATCTATTTGACAGCATCTGAAGAGTAATCGTGCCAATGAAGAGCTTTTTTGAATTAACGTTGGCTGAGATGTGGGCTTTTGAGCATGATGAAAATTTCCAAAAAACCAACAACTTTTATCAAAGTCAATATATTTTTGTGCGTATAATTAAGAGGTTTAATAAAAACTATAGCATTCCACTTAAAATAACGAAGTTGTGGTCTACTACCTAAAAAAGTTCTAACGAACCAGTTGCGTGAGACATCTGTTTATTTCTTTCGGGTAATTTCTTATTTCCTTTTTATTTATTATCACGACTTTACATTTATTTATGTTCAATTTTAGGCCCATCTTTTAAATTTCTTCTGTCCATATTTCAACCAACTTCTTTGCCTTTTTATAGTTCTCTGCTATCAGCAGCATATCGTCATCATAGAGTAAATTATCTATTTGTACTGGTTCCAAACTTTTATAACCTATTACTCTTTGATATTTATTTGTTCTTGTTTTTGTATTTTTTATCACTCTGCCCATTAATATTATAAATAAATCCTGATGTAAATGGTTCAAAACATTTCAAGTTGCACTCTTCTACAACTCCTTAATTTGTTAAACTCTGGTATTTAACAGCAACACCATAGAAATATTATCTTTTATAATAAAAATTATTGTTTTGTTCAGTTTTCATTATTTTATGTCATAATGCTGATAAAGTAAAAACTAAAAAACATTAAATGCTTCTTAATAACATTTAACTTAATTATTTTTTATAGAGAGGATGTGTAACTGGAGGTGGTGATAACACAGTAAAATTTTGGCAATTCGAATTAATAGTCGACGAAAAAAGTGAATCAAAAGCAAAAGTTTTATCTTTATTACACACACGAACTTTAAAACTAGAAGACAGCGTCCTTTGCGTAAAATTATCACCTGATAACCGATTCGTAGCCGTTGCTTTATTAGATTCAACAGTTAAAATATTCTTCACCGACACATTTAAGGTTTTTATTACAAAGTTTTATTAAATCCCAATTTTAATTGAATTAACTTCCAGTTTTATCTTTCGCTTTATGGTCATAAACTTCCCGTTCTTACAATGGACATTTCATCCGATTCTACATTAATAGCAACAGGTTCAGCTGATCGTAACATGAAAATATGGGGTTTGGATTTTGGAGATTGCCATAAAAGTCTCTTCGCTCACGATGATTCCGTAACAAGTGTTAAATTCGTCCCAAACACTCATTATATTTTCACATCCGGGAAAGACGGCAAAATTAAACAATGGGATGCTGATTCATTTTTAAAAATTATCACATTACAAGTAATTATTTTAACTTAACTTATCAACGATTTATAATAACATCTTAATATGTTTTTAGGGTCATATTGGTGAATGTTGGTCATTAGATGTAAGCCCAAATGGTCACTACATAATTTCAAGTGGCTCAGATAGAGTATTAAGATTATTCGAAAAAAGCGAACAAGTTGTTGTGCTTCAAGATGAAGAGGAAGATGAGCGAGAACAAGAAGAATCTTTAGTAACTGGGGAACAAACGGTAGCTCCTGGATTACCTGGTTTAAATTTACCATCTAAAAAAACTATTGGGAGTGAGAAAGGAGCTGAAAGTATTCTCGAATGTTTAGAAATTTGCGAAAAATATAAAGAACTTTTAGCGGAACACGCTTCTCTACAAGCAGCTTCAAGTCAATCTTTACCTCTTCCACAACCCCCACCTTTAATGCAAGCTTTAAACGTTTCAACGCCAAATGATTTCTTATTAGAAACCGTAAGAAGGATTAGATCGAGCGATTTAGAAGAAGCACTTCTTTTATTACCATTCCCTTCAGTTTGCGAAATTCTTTTAAGCTTACCTGCTTTAGTGATGCGAGGAGATCAAACGGAACTCGTTTGTAAATTATTAATGTTTCTTTTAAGGATACATCACGCTTCAATAGTTGCTAATAATTCATTACTTTCGGTGTTAAAACAATTACAAAAATGTGCTATGGTTAAAATTGAAGAACAAAGGGTAATGTTATTATTAAAGGTATAGTTTTAATATTTATTAAGGATACTTTTATTTAGGATTTGGTGGGTTATAATTATTATGGCATGCAATTTTTGCAAAGGGAAATTGAAGCTGCTGAGGGAATACAATTGTTTAGGGATGCTACAATTGAACGAAGGAAAGGAGAAAAGAAAAGAAGAAATAGGGAGAAAATTAAAAGATCGATTATGGTTCTTAATACATAATTTTTTTTTTAATGTTTTTTGAATTTAATAAGTACAATTAAAATAAAGATTTTTTTAAATCTTAAGGTTGTTTTTGCGAGAGAATCTTAGTTTAAAAATTATACTCTATAACCCTATAATTATGTCGTTAACATATTAATAACTATCATTATAGCTATTAACCCATTTGTGTATCGTAAGCTCAGATATGCGCGGATTTTTTTTTGCCATTGTCACTGAAACGGATTAGGTCTCGTGTTAGTTCTAGTTTTAGTTGTTATTCATCGTTAGATTTGAATATTGACTTTTAGTTCTGCTACTTCTGCATCATCTTGGAATTTTCTTACCTCTACCTCCATGTCATAAAATTGTTGTGTAAGTAGGCAAATGTCTGCAAATTTAAGTCTATCTTGCATTCACACTGAATACCATTTATCCTTCTTTCTATAACCCGTCTCATCATTCTATCCAAAACTAAGGTGACAAAATACACACTTGTCTCACCACAGAATGTGCCTGGATAGAATCGATAAGTTTCCAATTATGCACCACTTGACACTCATACATATCCCTGGAAACACAGATGATCTTCAAAGAGCACTCATTCTTCCAGAGTATGCCGCATAATTTTTCCGTTTAACGAGTCAAAAGCCTTCTCAAAGTCGATGAGAGGCATATAGACTGTACTATGCCATTTGCGCTCTGCTCAATAATTATGCAAAGTGTATTAATAAAATCAGCCCAACTTTGATATTTACTGAATCCTGCTTGCTCCCTCCTCAAACGCTATTGTACTGAGACTTTAATCCGATTCAGAGTTATCCTAGAAAGTACTTTATTTGGCATTGACAGAAGAGTTGCTACAATTAATGATGTCTCTAAGCAATTTTTCTTTTGTCTATATCTTCTCAAGCAACGGGTGTAATAATCCAAAAGTAGTCTCAATGTCTTGTTTTAGTACTTCAGGTGCAATATTGTGTACACTTGGTGCCTTTTCATTACTGATTTGCTCTAGGACTGTTATCATTTCATTACGATTGTTGCTTTTATGGTAATGCCAGCATCACTGACTACTTCATTTCCTTGGATTGTCCCCTCTTTCTTTTCCTCTATTTAGAATCTCAGAGAAATATTCTTGAACTGGTCTTCTTGTATTGTTCTTGTTGTTTGCAAACTCTTATTGAACCGCTTCTTAGACAACATTCTTAATGCTATATAACTCCTTGGCATCAGCTCTTGCTGCAGCAAGCTCTACATTATCTGCTTGTTCGTCTATCCACTTCCTCTTATCACTTCTCACACTTTTTTACACTAGATGGTCATTGGTTGTATACTCTGCCTTTGCTTGGGATTTTTGCTACTTTATCTCGCTAATATTTAATCGTACGTTGATCTCCATTCTGCGACTAATTAGATCCCACGTATTCTCAGACATAGTCTTTCTTAAGGTTATTTTTGAAGAAAAGGACTCTCTCACTTAGGTCATAGTTTCCTGTTCTTATTCTGGTAACGACTCAAAGTGATTTATAAGTTCTATACAAAATTCTTCCTGCTTTGCTGGTAATTTTAATTAACTCACATCGAATCGCTTACTCTTTTGGTAAATTTTTTTTGGCAGCCACAATTAGCTCCTCGTTTGTTCCTAACATCAATTAAAGACCTTCTAAACTTCCTGTTTACTGCTATTTGGTCATAACTGGCGCAGAAATTCACAAACATATCTTCATTTTCATTAATTTCTTTGTTACATGCCCTCACCTTTGCATTAATATCTCCCATAACGACGAAGATATCGGTTTCTATCGTTTCGTTTACCGCTCGATAAAAACCCTCTTCTGCTCAATATCTGAAGTTTCTGTATTTTGTATCTTCATCATAAAATAGTCCCCCCGAAATGGGTCGCCACTCCAAAGACTTTCTTTGAAAACCTTGGTCAACAAGAGAACATTTTGTTGTTTTGCGCAGAACATTTTATTGTTGCGCCATCTCCAGTGGAGGCTGAGTATAAATATTTCTATGTTTGAAGTTCTTCAAAGTCCGAATATCTAATTTATAAACATCTTTTTCGTCACCATGAGTTCTAACATTCTAAATCAATTCTCATTGTACACTTAATGTTTCTTTAATCATTTGATGTCAAGAATGCGAGTGACCTTCGTCCAGACTTTGTTTCAGAAGGCTAGATGTAATTGTCTTCCTATTTCTTGAGACGGCCAATCGATCTACATGGAAAACCTTTATTGCTGCTGTATGCTCCACCAGGAACAACAGGAAATAAATCAGCACTAGACTCGTCTATATTTTTATTGAACTAAAATTAGAACTAACACTAGATAAAGAACTAGAAAGTTTCGAATTTAGCCGTGCGTCTCTCAAGGCGGCTAAACTCGAATGTTTTTAGTTCTGTCTTACGTTTTGAGGTTTTGAGTCAAGTTCAGGTGGTCTAGAAACTTTTGGAGACGCTCTTTGCCACGCTGCCAGATCTAAAAGGTGTCATCCACGTAACGAAAGCATAGCTTTGGTTTCCATGGACTCTTTTTTGATTGGTACTCTAGTAAGTGGGGGTTCTACGTCGAAGCTTATTTTGATAAATTCCTCCTGGGGATCTATCTCCATACTTTTGATTGATTCCACAAAATGCGTAGAATCTCTGACATGATTTTGTTTTACTTGTAAAAGGAGAGAAAATCTTGGCAAGGAGCTTCGCCAACTGGTACGTTGAAAAATGTATGGCACTAACAATATCTGGTGTATGGATTTTAGGTAAACTACACAGGGTGTTTTAAAACTACATTTAAATATTTATAGGGGTAGTACTAAAGTCGAAAAGTGTTAATAAACATGGGTCGGAAAATCAACCGTTCTCGATATACAGGATGTTAAAATTTTTTGGGACTCTACGTTTTTTCTTTTAAACTGTAACTACTACATTTGATACTTGGCAAATCGATGCAGTATGAAACTGTCTCTTTTTTGAGACTTGTATGATGTTTCCATTGCTTCCGGTTGCACCGGAAGTGAAAATAAATACCACTATTTTTTTACCACTAATACTTTTGGTCTTTATAAGTTTCACAAATCGATGCAGTATGAAACTGTCTCTTTTTGAGAGTAGTATGATACTTCCATTGCTTCCAGTTGGAATAAATTATTCCATTACAAAACGTTATGCCGAGTGTACGGCCATTAGTTATCAAAACTTTGCCATTACAAGGAGAAGGCTTTGACTTAGTACATACAATCTGCTAAGTAATTTGAGTTAATCACTCCAGTAATTTGACTTTGCGAAACCTGAAGTGAAATCGTTTGCAATGGTCTTGTATTCATTGTGCCAATGGAAATACTTTGAGAGCACGTCGTTTCTATGCTGAAACATTTCCCAATCGGCGGCTACCTTCATATGTTATGTTTCAATCACTTTTTCACTGTCTAAAAGAAACTCGATCGTTTGAAAAAAGGTCTTATAATACCGGACGGCAAAGATCAGTATGTACACCGGAAATAGAGGAACAAATTTTAAATACAATTGCTGACAGCAGCGTTTTAGTTTAAATATCTGGTTAGGCATCGTAGGGGGTAGGTTGTTGGGACCAATAGTTTTACCACAACCATTAAACGGACTAACATACTTTGATTTCTTGGAAAACACTCTTCCTCAACTTTTGGAAGAGTTGCTGCTAAATCAAAGACTAAATAGTTTATGCAGGATGGAGCTCCCCCGCACGTTACGTGTATTGCTACAGAACATTTGAATAAAAGATTTCCTGAGAGATGGATAGAGCGAGAGGGTCCCAATGCATGACCTGCACGTTCGCCGGATTTGAACTTGCTAGAATTTTGTTTATGGGGTTATGATGTTTTAATATTAAGTACAATAACGCATATTTTATTACACATTATTTTATCAGGAAAAGTACTAAAGTTAGATATATGACATACTTATCATTAATTAAAGGCAACTTGATGGGCAATTCAACCAGCACACAATATACAGGGTGTTTTATTTAAAAAACTTATGAAAAAGCCATTTGAAAAACATCAAAAGTAATATCTTTGGATACCTACTGGCTTTGACTATTGTCTGACATAGTTTTAGCCAGTAGGCAAAATTGGAAAAACAATTGAATATCTCAGAAACTATGAACGCTATGAGTTAGTAACATGTACGGTTGTGTAAACAAATTTAATTGTATTCATAATATGATAAAAAATATACAAGGTGTTCCATTTAAAAAAATCTAGATACTCTCCGTTACGCCTAAATGGAACATCCTGTATAAGTAAAAATAATTTTACGTAATAGAAAGTGGTGACTCAAACAACTTTTGTATAAAGCATTTTTTTCTTTCGCAAACTCACCCTGTAGATATTTCATGACCTAAAAGGAGTTATAGATCGTTAGAGTAACTTTTCATGATATAATATATAATTTTGTGGTTGCATAACCCATGTTGCTATGCACATAATTGATTGGGTATGTAAATAATTTTTTGAATAAATTTGTTGGCTTGGGATTAAATAAAATAATGCCAAAAGAAAGTTTTAAGTAAATAAAATGCTTTTATTATTTTTTATTATTTTTTTTAATTCAATACATATGTGTAAATAAACAAAAGTATTCTAGCATCTGTTTTTTTTTCTCTGACCTATATACATTTTTTATTTAGACAGAAAAAATAATAAAATTATTTGGGGGGAAGGGAGGGCCAAATTAAAAGCGCTACGCGTCCTCCTGGGAACGGGCGTAGCGGAACAAGACACGTACATGAGAAAGAGATATTAAATCGTTAATGATAATACATTTAATAATATTTTATTAATACTTTAAGTCTGAAATTCTGTATTATTTATGTAGCGTATAGTTGAGCGGCACAGATACACCTGTTTTAACAACTATTCAATAAATTAAACGATAAACTTCAACTAGGGTCACATAAATAATACAAGGAGGCTTTGGTTTGGGGGACGTAAACGATTCTTTTACGTTCGACAAAAAAAACTGGCTAAAAGGCGCACAACACAAAACACTAATTCGCAAAAAAAAATCCGATTTAATTTTTAAGTTTTTAAATTTTTTCGGTTGGCGATAATAGGATTGAGTGCGCGCTCTTCTCGTTTTTTTCTTTTTATATATTTTTTGTTTCTATAAACAATACAAAAAACGACATATTAATACGTTAGGAACCAAGTGCTTATAAATACAATTTTTTTAATTTAAATTACCTAATTTATATTATCAATGTCACCTGGACAACACATCGCGCGAGGTGTTTTTCCGCGGAATTATTATAAGTGGCGTTTATCTACATTTATACATAAATATTTGAAAGAAAAAAAGGGGCCTGAAATGATAAATGGTGGTACAATAAATTAAAAGAAAAAAAGAAACCTTAAAATTGTAACCTGAGCTTCAGAAATTTGGTATTTAAGTGGCCGAAAAAAATTAAACGCTTCATCTGCAATAAGGACAACAGGAATACAATCGGGAATGTAGTATACAATAAAAGTAATAAATAAACAACAGATAGTAAAAACTGTAGCAATTACATTATCGATCATTGCTTTTTTTATTTGTGTACAAATAAGATTGGAAAAAAAGATCGGAAAGGTAAATCGTACCTCTCGTTGAGGTACGAAAAAATAATTATAATAAATAATAATAATGTACAAATTTCGGATTTGTATAAAAATTCGTGTACGCTCTCCTACCACAATTGGCTAAAGTTCATGCTTTTCGCAAGACTGACGTCATTTACATTGTTATAGGCCACGATGCAATTATAATTGCACAAGTACAATTCTTTCATTTAAAAAAACGTAACGTACCGAACCGACCCGGTACTCACAAATTACATACCCGAAATATATTTTATAAATATATATTTGTATATATATAAAATTGCTATTGTTATCGTTATTAACATTTTATACAAACCGATGCCAACAATTTCTCCTCCGTAAAAAAAATCATTGGTAAGCTACACAATAATAAAATAAGTGAATAGCAAAGAAATGCGTATAACGAGTGCTCCGTTCGCTTCTTTCGTATAAATAATAATTTTATACAATGATGATTATTAAAGTCCTTCTTGGCGATTGTGTTTCGAAAAACCTCAAAACATTTTTTTTCCTTGAATTTCTTAAACAGTCCGGGTAAAACGCACTAATTATAATATTTCTAAACACTAAACCTCCCTATTGTTTATTCCCGATGGCGTTAGCGTAGTGACGTGGTGAAGTTCGATCTTGTTTTTATTCGAATCGCCCCTATCGTGCATTATCGGCAAATCGGGATGCGGGGGATTCCTCCATCGGGTGCCGAAAATCGGTCTTCCATTTTGAGTAATTGAAGGACTGTCAACGCAGTCCGTCGACGCTCGAGCCTGCTTCGTTTTACGTTTGTAATGAACGTAAACGAAGAAGCACACGAAGAACACCAACAATATCGCTATCGTTGCTCCTCCTGCTATACTAGCTGTTTCTAGCATCACCTTTTGTTGCGTTGCTATAATTTAAAAAATACAAATAAGTCAAATTAATTTTTTTAAGATTTTTTTTTAGTAGACTTACGTAAGTAAGATTTATCTAGATCTTTGAATTCGCATCTGGGACCCATGTAGCCATTCGCACACCTGAAATTAAAAATTAGTTATAATTAAATTATAAATAAATACATAATATATGTTAATAAAGTAATTAAGTTAATTGAAAAAATTGATATTAACTTTTAAACTCCACCAACTTTTTTCCTTCATTTCTAGGTTATATTAAAATTTCGATCATTTTTAAAAAATTGTGAAAAATCGATTATTTAAAATATAGCCTATCAATTTTCAAGAATTATAGTAAAAAGTGTTAACTTTCAAATGAAACAAGCCGATTTTGAAAACATCTTTTAGTTTTTGAGAAAAAACGTTTTAAACACAACAATGTTTTTTTTTAATTCTTAGGTTAGAGAATTTTTGTGGTATTTTCAAAAAATCGCATAAAATCTAATTTTTAATGAATCGCCTTAAAACTATCAGCGATTATAAAGGAAAATGTAAGCTATTCAATGAAAACGAGCGCTTTTGAAAAAATATTTTCGTTTTTGAGATATCAACTTTTAAACTCCACCAACTTTTTTTCCTTCATTTTTAGTTTATATTAAATTTTCGATCATTTTTAAAAAATTGTGAAACATCGATTATTTAAGATATAGCCTTGCAATTTCCAAGAATTATAGTAAAAAGTGTTAGCTTTCAAAAGAAAAAAGCCGATTTTGAAAATATCTTTTAGTTTTTGAGAAAAAAGTTTTTAAACGCAACTATGTTTTTTTTTAATTCTTAGGTTAGAGAATTTGTTGTGGTATTTTCAAAAAATCGTATAAAATCTAATTTTTAATGAATCGTCTTGAAGCTATCAGCGATTATAAAGGCAAATGTAAATGTAAGCTTTTCAATGAAAAAGAGTGCTTTTGAAAAAATACTTTCGTTTTTGAGATATCAACTTTTAAACTCCACCAACTTTTTTCTTTCATTTCTAGTTTATATTAAATTTTCGATCATTTTTAAAAAATTGTGAAACATCGATTATTTAAGATATAGCCTTGCAATTTCCAAGAATTATAGTAGAAAGTGTTAGCTTTCAAATGAAAAAAGCCGATTTTGAAAATATCTTTTAGTTTTTGAGAAAAAAGTTTTTAAACGCAACTATGTTTTTTTTAATTCTTAGGTTAGAGAATTTTTGTGGTATTTTCAAAAAATCGTATAAAATCTAATTTTTAATGAATCGCCTTGAAGCTATCAGCGATTATAAAGGCAAATGTAAATGTAAGCTTTTCAATGAAAAAGAGTGCTTTTGAAAAAATACTTTCGTTTTTGAGATATCAACTTTTAAACTCCACCAACTTTTTTTTTTCATTGCTAGGTTATACTAAATTTTCGATCATCTTTAAAAAATCGCGAAAAATCGATTATTTGAGATATCGCATTGTAACTTATGGAACTTATAGTAATAAGTGTTAGCTTTCAAATGAAAAAAGCCGATTTTGAAAATATCTTTTAGTTTTTGAGAAAAAAATTTTTAAACGCAACAATTTTTTTCTTAATTCTTAGGTTAGAGAATTTGTTGTGGTAATTTCAAAAAATCGCATAAAATCAAATTTTTAATGAATCGATTTGAAAGTATCAGCGATTATAAAGGAAACTGTAAGCTTTTCAATAAAAAAGAGCGTTTTTGAAAAAACAATTTCGTTTTTGAGATATCAACTATTAAATTCAACCAACTTTTTTTCCTTCATTTTTAGGTTATACAAAATTTTCGATCATTTTTAAAAAATTGCGAAAAATCGATTATTTAAGATATCGTATTGCAACTTACGGAAATTACAGTAAAAAGTGGGAGTTTTCAAATGAAAAAAACCGATTTTGAAAATATGTTTTAGTTTTTGAGAAAAAAATTTTTAAACGTAATAATGTTTTTCTTTATTTTTAGATTAGAGAATTTGTTGTGGTATTTTCAAAAAATTGCATAAAATCTAATTTTTAATGAATCGATTTGAAAGTATCAGCAATTATAAAGGAAAGTGTAAGTTTTTCAATGAAAACAAGCGCTTTTGAAAAAATAATTTCGTTTTTGAGATATCAACTTTTAAACTCCACCAAATTTTTTTCTTTAATTTCTAGGATATGCAACATTTTCGACATAGCATTGCAATTTTTGGTAATTATAGAGTAAAATGTTATTGAATAAAAAAAGCCTATCTTAAAAACATCTTTTAGTTCCTGTGAAATTTATGTATGAGCTGGATATAAATTTATTTTATTTCTTTAATATAAAAGAGATATATGAATTTCTTCACGTAATTTTCTTATAAGTTATTCAATAGATAGCTATCTGGTAGATATACTTGGAAAAATGTAAAAATTATACTAAGCGCGTATAATTTTCGTAATTTATATTCAAACGTGGGTAGAGCAGTGGGCAGAGGTAAATCATTTTTGGAAAATATCGCCACAAATCTTTTTTAACATCAAAGAGAGAGAATTTTTTATTGAGAATACGCAAAGAAAATTACCAGTTAATACATTAAACAAAAAAACCTAAAATAAAATATATGTATGGAGATGCTCAAAAACCTCAAAGATTGTGGAGAAGTTCTACACTTTGATAGTAATTACGAGACGATAATAAAAACGACCAGTAATAACGATAAGTTCTTGCCATATCAGTGCAATCAGGTGATAGCAACCAGAAAAAAATCGTAAGCAAGACGATGTATGCAAATTTCCTGTATTTATTACATATAATAAAGCAAACAAAGGCGTCAGAATATAATTTCGACCAGCCGTATAAGGTCATATTTAGAAGCAGGCATGATGGGACGAAGGGTGTGCCTCAACTTAAAAGAAGAGCCCTTGCCTGGTATACCAATGCTTCAAAGACAGTTGGATCCGGAGTAGATATGAGCATTAGTGGGTCAAATAGCCGCATTAATTGCCCCTTAACTCGGACATATTTTTCAAGCAGAAGTTGTTGCTATAAACTTCTACACCATTTTGAACCTAGAAACAATACAGAAAGGTGCATCGATAAACATTTTCACAGACCTCCACACAGACCAGAGAGTGTACCAGCAACCTAAGAGAACTCGCTACGGGCAATGATGTTACTCTAAGGTTGGGTCCAGGTTACAAAGACATTGAGGGCAATGAAAAGGCGATCAAGCTGGCCAAAGAAGCTGCGAAGACGCCCTTTATTAGACCCCAACCAGGCTGTGGACTACGAAAAAGCCACTTAAAACTTGCAATCAATAGTTGGGAGGCCTCAAAAATAGCCTTAGAACTTCTAGGTCACAAACAGGCGAACAGTATGATAACTCCATCGCAAAACAAAACCAAAGAGGTTTATACCTCAGCAAAGGGGATACAAGGTCGCTCTCAGGCTTCCTCAACGGTCATGCGCCCCTAAACCATCACCTGTTCCATGTTGGATAAGCTGAGAATCAAACTTGTCAACTTTGCAACATCGAGTCAGAGACTGCTGAACATACACTGTGTGAATGTGTCGCCAGAGGCTGCCTAAGACACAAAATTTTCGATAAAGTTCGCCTGATACCTACCTATAACATAAAGGAACAAGGCCTCAGGGCAATACTAAGGTTCATAAAGGACCTACATTTTCCCTAAACTTTTGGAGAGCTTAAGTTCCAATAAATCTTATAGGTTGCGATGACCACCATAACACAATTAAAAACAAAATGGACATGATTTGCATTTTGAGAACAAATGACACAAGACTTCAGTGTCGAATATGAAAGGACTACCTCTAATGTAGATGATAACGCAAATGATAATTCAAATAACATGGGAAAATCAAAGAGAAGAACACCCATAGAACAAGCAAATACAAAGGTTTAGCTAAAATAAGTAGAAAGAGGTGTCGGGGATGTTAAAAATATTTGTTTTTAAATTCATTCTTGTTTAGCTAAAACAATCCAACCCGCAATACATTTCTGACAGTCTAAAGGTGGTCCCACACGACTGGTGTAATTGGTAACTACGCAAGTAGGCAAATATTTGTGTAAACATTGGCCTTACATCGTAGACCCTCGTGTAACATAAAAAATGCCTATAACGATGTTAGTAGTTATAATAAGAATAATATTAATAAAACTCTGGGTTAACGATGAAAATTAATATTCATATTGAACGATGAACATAGAATCCACCATCGCCAAAAATAATAAGAATAGGCGAATATAATAATAATAATAATAAATGACTTTATTGTCTCCATTACAAAGAAGAAACTACAATACAAATATATACATAATATATGGAGATCAAACGGCGGGATCCAGAATAGTCTGTTCTACCCAACCGTAAAAAAAAATTTTCATGAATTATAACAAACAAAAAGAAAAAAAATAAAGGCAAAATCTTGAAATCATTAATACAGTATCACCCGCATCATATCAAATCTAAATTTAAACATAATTAAATTAAATGAAAGGGCCCAAAAGACTCAAACGTACATTAAATGAAAGAGAAAAAAGAAAGAAAGAAGAGGAGAAAAAAAAACAATAATAATAAAAATTAAAAAAGGACTCAGTGTAATAACTGATGGCGTAACTGTTAACATCGTAACAATGACTTTATATCAATAAGAATAAGGTCAAAAAAAGGACACAAAAAAATCACAGAGAAACAAAGAAAAACAAACATCAGACAAGACCCATCATATTCCTCAATTTTATTCGAAATTGGTCATATTTCAGTTGACGTAGTCCATGTGGCAAGCTTCCATACGATTTATAAACATGATATGTAAATGACCTTTGAAAAAGTGATGCTCTATGTTTTGGAGGATAGAAACTAATACCTGACCTTGTCTGACTTCCTTCGCATTGTGGTTTATATTTAATTTTATTATGCAGGTACTCCGGGACTCCAGAGGTAACGATTCTATGATAGAGAGACACACTATGAAACGCCCATCGAAAGCTCATGTTCAGCCACCAAGTACTCTGCCAAGTACACCAGTCGCGTGGGACCACCTTAAGATTAACCTTTTCGGAAGTCATCATTAGCATTCAACATAGAACTACAGTTTCTGACTACCGGTGTACCTACAGTGTGTTAATTAATTATCGTACCCGACGTCATCATTGCAAGTATACAACCAATATCGCAAATCGCGTATTGCAACACCAATACTGTGATATTGGTTGCATACTTGCAATGATGACGATAATTAATTAACATAGTGTACATACACACTTATTAATTGAACATGGGATTATGATTTTTATTCTTGGGACCAAAATGGTCACTTTTTACTTAGCTATACCGTTGATATAGCATCGATATATTCTTGGAGATTACAAATCATTAGCTTATATTTCGGGATAGATGGTACACATCGAAATCAGTTTGATGTAAATGATAATAAGAAGATTTTTACGTATTTACTAAAAATATAACAAACAGAAGTATTAACAGTAACACATAACGTTTTTAATTTAGTTAATATTGGCGAAACTTTGCAATAAATACAGCTACATTGAAACATGTACTTTCACATTTTCCATTACTTTTACAAATAATTACAGGATGAAATAGATTTGTATTGTTCGTTGTTACAAATTTACAAGTGATTTAGAATATTTCGGCAAAAAACTTGCGTTTTCATGTTAAAGTGTAGATACTGTATTTAACACTTTTTTCAACATCTAAAGCTCAAAGTTGTCTATAAGTGACAGAGGTTTGCTTTAAAACGCTCTTTTTTGTCGGTCAGATATATCATTTATTTATTCTAGTGCAACAGATAATCTTTCCACTCCAGGTTCTTAATAATAACATTTAATGCAATAGAGTTGTGTTGAATATAATCTTGTAAAGTCCTTTAAAATTCAAACTATAGGTTACTTTAATTGAAGCTTATTGCAAGCTAACCCTTGTATCTAAATTATGTATCAAACCATATTTAATATTCTATGAAAAATCATTTATCGCAAATCAAGTTCAAAGAACAAAAAGTCATAAAGTTAGCAATTCTAGTAACTCTGTTATCTACTTTGACCTCTTGTTCAGCAAATAAAGGGGTTTGAAAAGTAGAAATTGTAGAACAAAATTAAAAAGTATGTAAAAAGACTATAGTAACAAAATACTTACTCGCAATTGTACAGAAGCGATTCTGCAATTTTAACGGTGAAACACGTGGCCCCGTTGAGGCAGTACCAAGCGGCGTAAGCGGGCGGACACGGAAAGGTTGGGAATGTGATGTTGGGCCGTGGCGTCGGCGCCGGCGGCCTGGGCTTTGGAGTTGTTCGCGAAGAACATGCATCTGCAACAGAAAGAGAAAACGTACGGTTACGAACGTCGACTATCGTCGGGGTTTACGTGAAGTTGCGCGCTAATTGCGCTATTTGCATTCGACCACCACCTCGCTCTCCTCCCGCTTGCTCTCTCGTCTACTTCTTCTTCTTCGCGTGCGACCGAAAGTCCCCATTCATACGACCCCCGTTGAATACCAAAACCTTGCCCCAAGCAAAAAATTTATTCTAAAGAACTCAACTACAACTATAACAAACAGCCCGAGGCTACAGTTAACACGATAATGTTTCAATTGACCATGAAGAAGAAAAAATTAAAATTTATTTTGATTATTTGTGTTTATTTATTTTTTATGCAACAGAAGGTGAAATTAGGTAAATACATCCGATATGTTGAGGGGGTCGTAAAAAATAACATATGCGAAGGGCGAAGAGAAATTGATACCATTCGGGAGCATCTGTTGTTCCTGATCAGAAAAAAGGCAAGAAATCGATGGGGAAGTAATAGAACAAAAAGAATGAGGCACGGGCTAACACCACCATCATCTGGCGAAGAAGCATCAGTAACGCAATAAAGCGCGTGCTCATGTATCACATGCTGCCGAATCGTATAATCGAAGGTGCTCGTTATCTTACGAAGAAAAGAAGGGCGAAAGAATCGAAACCAATCAACTATAATTTGAAAGTGAATAAAAAAAAGAAACTGGGCAGGTAGAAAATACTCGTTTCTCCACTTTTTTAAACCAAAAAGTAATCCCTTAATTGAAGGAGTACATTTTTGCGAAAAATTTTCATTAGCTACATTAAAATCGTATAAGATTAATTTTATCGAGTTACATGAAGGGAAAGTTAATAACGAAACCAAACATATTATTAACACAACTTTCTCGATATTATCAAATCACACGCAGTCTTGCGTTTTATTTCATCATCAAATATAAAAAAAATCGTATAAGAAAAAATCTATTTAAAAACGAATGTTATAGTCCAATAAATTATCACTAAAACGAGGGACTATTTGGAAAAGTTAACGGATTTTTAGTGCCCTTGTTGACACGAAATGATTTGAAGCGCCTGGAAGGCACATCACTTTTGGCTCCTCGTTTCTCATCATCTTCACGTCGTCCTCCTCATTTAGCCAGCCCGAAAACGAAAGTCCCAAAGAAATCCTCAACGCGGGCGGTCTTTGTCCCATCGGGGCCGGAGAAGGGGCGGCTCACTTTGGTTTTGATTAGGACGTTAAAGTTGTCATTTGGAGCCGTTAATTGCGTAGCGGCACGGTCCGAAATGCGCCCCCGGGTGGGCGTAGTCCTCACGGACCGCCCCACAACGACACAACAAATAATCGCCTAATTTCTGCTAATTTTGTTTACCGAAGTCAAAGAAAAAAGCCGACCACACCACTCTTTCTTTCCTTTCTTTCTCAACCACAAGTTTTTCTCAGCTCCTCGTTTGTGAAGTTCAACAAAGAACTATTTGAGAGAGCCATTTTATTGTAATTAGCGAATAATCACGAAGTGTGCACGTTGCGGTTTTTAACGGTGTTAATCGACACGGTTTTTGTCACTTGACGAGGCGAAAACTACCGCACTTAGTTGCAGAAGAAAAGAGTTTTCAACAAAAAATATATTTGTTTATTAAAAAAAAACGTTGAATTAGACGAAAAATAATAATTAAATCGTCAAAAATTAATTAAATTCTTTTCGTTCAAAGCAAAATAATAAACAATGATTTTATCATCTACAATTTCTTCTCACGAAAAGTTTTTTTGATGCGTGGTCTTTGTTTTCTAATTCTTGGATGATTTAAAAAAAAGAGCAAGTCATTCAATTAAGTTGTAATTTAAGTAGTTTATGTTAATAAATTTCGAACAAAATCTTAGAATTAAAGCGAAAATTTTTAATTTGGTCCCAAATTAGGTTCTCTGAGAAAATTTATATTTAGAAAAATTGCAGGGTTACACTGTCAAAAAGGAGACTCTATGAATGTTGGTCAAAAAAAGTTATTATTATTGTGTAGATCAACAATATCTTCAGATTTGGAAACAATTATTTCTGACCAAATCCTACACCTTGAAGAATGCTTTTTCAGGTTAACAACCACTGAAGCCAAAAAACTCGCTTTTGATGTTGCAGAAAAACATGATCTACCAAATACTTTCAGTAAAGGTAAAAAAATTGCTGGCAAAAAGATTCCTTCCGTGCCTCTGGAATTTGGCCTGTAATGGGCATATCTTTACAGATGACCAGTTTGCACCTGGTGATGGTAAGCAACGTTGAAATCTTTGCTTGCGACCGAGACCCCATAATGAATCCCACATTAATACAAAGTTAAGTAAGATTTATTGCAGTGTTTCGGTCGCAAGCGACCTCGGCTAAGTTAATGACGAGCGTTTATAAACTGAGGAGAGCAAAATTTACCACAGTTCGTAAAATATGTAACCTCTGTAGGAAGAAACAAACTAAGATAATATAATTATAATAATATATACCTTTATTGCCCAACAAAGTACCAATTAGAGGACAATATTATACTACACAGAAAAACAAACTTACATTAATACAAGAATCAATTAAACAATAAGCGAAAACCTTGCAATACTCTTTCAGGTTTACAAGTCTGCACATTCTTTGTAGCGGAGCGCTAGCCTGTACGTTGGTTGTATTATTCTTCAAATAGAAGACTCAGCTGTATCGGGTAGCGTGGCTGGGTACACTGAAGTTAATGCAAGAGAGTGACCAGTTACAATCCGTTTCACCATTCACCAGTTTTATAATAAATCTAACGTCGAGATCATCTCTTGGAGTGTCAAGCGAAGAAAAATGATGACGTTGCAACAAAGATTGGTAGTTAGTGCCACGAACAGGATAAGCTTCATCCACGCGAAACGAAAGGTTAAAATCATACAACAGAACCATAATTCAGTTTCGGCAGAACAAGCGCCCGAAAAAACAATGTGTATACAGCAGAATCCGTGAATAAACGTGAAGTACTCTACGTGCACTAAAAACAATAGTTTGCTATCAAAAGTTACTCCCAGATCTCTGATAGGAGTCAACTTAAGGAGAGAGAATCCACCTATACAGTAAAATGAATGGATAGGAGTAGATCTACGCGTAAATATGACAGCACTACATTTCTCCACATTAATCCTGAGCTGATTACGATCGCACCGTTCCACCAAGATATCAAGATCCGACTGCATCGAAACCACATATTCATCCGAGGTCATAGGACGAAATATCTTAAGATCATCAGCATAGGCCAATACAAGAGACTTAAATCTGTTTAATAAGTCGTTAATAAATATTACAAACAGTAGTGGGCCCAAGTTAGAGCCCTGTGGGACACCAGAAGGATATGATAGCATCATCTCTGTCTTATGAGGTGATAACATTAAAACGTTAAATGCAACCTCAAAAACAAAAAATATTGGAAAAGAAGCTAATAAATCTTGAAATTTTGCTGGAATGTTTAGCACAAGATTTTTAGACATGTCATAAAAATCTTAATCAACTTAATGAGAATTCATCCGATGTTGAGGAGGAAATGTAGGACCAGAGAAAAAAACAAGAAATCAAGACAACTAGGCACAGAAAATACGAAGTAAAGAGAATTCAACAGAAACATCAACTGGTGTTGTTCAAGGAAGTGACCAGAAAAATTTCCGTTTTGGAAAAATTCTTTACATCACTTTGGAACAACTTTAGTATTCACTTCTAAATGTATGCTTCTTCGCAGGGTTTTGCTTTTAGACAATCCCAATGATGCTGAGTTACGCATTACGGATAAAGCAAATAAGAAACAAAAACACATCTATGTATATTGAATTCATGTATAATATCAATAAAGAAGAGAATTCACAAGAAACAAAGACTTACAAAGTTTAAACCCATCGACTTCTCGTGATGAACGAATAGCCACAAACACGACTGTACTAACTTGTACAGTGAATACATTTGATTTAGTACAAAAATTAAGGAATTTTGGCAAAAACAAGAAACAAAATGTATCTACTGAAAATACCAGAAAATGTATGAAATGACGAACTTGACTTGGGTTAGGTTATACTGAGTAAGTTGGGTTGGGTTAATTAGCAAGCGAACTCGAGTTAATTAATCAAAGGATATACAACTTCACCTGATACAGCCGAGGCTGCTTGCGGCCGACACACTGCGATATGATACCCAGTTTCAGAGCGATATGATTACCAAATATCATTTAGTATTGAATCTAAATTTAACATATTTAAAAGTGATGGGTCCAATATGAGGCGTCTAATACACAACACACCATGACATCATTTAACTCTTATCAACTCTTGTAATCAGAAGGACGTGAGCAAACGACACACTCAAATGTGTGTAAACATTTTTTTGCAGCAGATGAAATAAGTATGGTGGTATCAGTTCTAAACAGATGAGATGGTTTCGTCTTGCTGTGTAAGATGATTTCTGGAAGCAAAGACTGTACGCTTTGGAGATGATATGATAGCGAGGCCTAAACTAGGGTATTGGCGGATTGTCTCGGCAGCAGTTTGTATCTAATTTCGCAATCCTTGCTCAGTATTAGGTTCGGTGTCGTGCATTATGCTTTTTAAGTGATCCCAAAAATAAAAATCAAGAGGATTGAGGTCGGGCGATTCAGATGGCCAGGCATCGAGGCACCTTACTTAGATGTTTCCGCATATATCGGATATCTAGGAAACCGAAAATCTTTTACTACAATCTTTTTCATCTATTAGCCATTATTTGTCATGAGGAATAAATCCATAAGTTTATGCGTATAAGTTGAGAATTACCCTGTATATTTCAATAAAACAATGATCCGAAATACACACCAAAAGTTGTAATGCAATGGTTTAATCCAAACAAAATAAATTTAATAATTATGTGATATACACACGTAACTAGACGATGAAAGAATAATGAATACTGTTGAAACAATTAGATAAATAGTGCAGGAACTTAGCCATCCATTTTTGTATTGTAATCGTTCTCTATTGTTCGAG